AAAAATCAGTTTTTTGACCTTAGCTGAATTTATAATTTGACTTTGACTAACAAAAAAAAGTTTATTTGAAACAACATCTCTGAAACTGAAATTTTATTGAGCTTTTCACTCTCTCAATTCCCCATTTTTAATTTTTGTCATTTTTTAATGGTAAATTTTGTATTTGGTTTTGTAAAAGACAAAACGATAAATTTGAAATTAATACACTATTCCAAAAAATTATAGGAAAAAAAATGCTGAATTTTTTAGGGATTTTTTAAAAAAGAAACATTTTGAAGCTTTATTTTTGGTGATTTTAATTCATTTTTAATTATTTGATAAAAAAAAATTCAGCTTTTTGACTTTAGCTGAGTTTATAGTTTAGTTTATCCTAGAAATGCATCTAAAGATTTGCATTTTGGTTATTTTCGATGTTTTTTCCGATATTTTGAACCCAATTTTTAGTAATAAAATCGCAATCCGTGATAAATTTTATCAGGATTTTATTTGGCTTAATTTCTTAAACAGAAAAGTAACAAAAAAAAAGTTTATTTAAAACAATAAATAAATAAGGTTACTGAATTTTTTAGTGATTTAAAAAAAAAACATTTTTAAGCTTTATTTTTGGTGATTTTAATTCATTTTTAAGTCTAATCTTGACACCTTATTTGGGCCACCCTGTCAATTATTTAATAAAAAAAAATCAGCTTTTTGACCTTAGCTGAATTTATAGTTTGATTTTTTTTGCCTTAATTTTTTAAACAGAAAACTAACAAAAAAAAATTATTATATTTAAAACAATAATCTCTGAAACTAAAATTTTATTGAGCTTTTCACTCTCTCAATTGCCCATTTTTAGTTTTTGGTACTTTTAGTGGTAAATTTTGTATTTGGTTTTGTAAAAGACAACGAAAAATTTGAAGTTAAATACACTATTCCAAAAAATAGAAACAAAAAAAATTGCTGAATTTTTTAGTGATTTTTGGTGATTTTAATTCATTTTTAAGTCTAATCTTGACGCCTTATTTGGGCCTTCCTGTCAATTATTTAATAAAAAAATCTAGTTAGTATATCTAAAAATTTACATTTTTCTTTTTTACGATATTTCGAAACCAATTTTTAGTAACAAAATCGCAATCCGTGATAAATGTTACATTAGGATTTTTTTTTGGCTTAATTAAAAAAAAAAAAGTTATTTGAGACACCATCTCTGAAACTAAAATTTTATTGAGCTTTTCACTCTCTCAATTGCCCATTTTTAGTTTTTGGCATTTTTTAATGGTAAATTTTGTATTTGGTTTTGTAAAAGACAAAATAATGAATTTGAAATTAATGCACTATTCCAAAAAATTATAGGAAGAAAAAAAACACATTTTGAAGCTTTTAGTTTTGGGATCTTTCAGCAATTTTTTTTTCTGTGCTACAGTTATTACGCAATTCGCAATAATAGTGCCAAAAAAAGAGAATATAAGGGTTGTATCAAAAAGTAGTCTTTTTTAATTTTTTGAACATGTACTTTTTTCTTTACATATGTTATTTATTTGTACTAAACAAAAAATTATATTGTTTTTAAATTTTCCAAACATTAGGGAAGAAGAAATCGTTTTTTCGCGTAATTGTTCTGCAAGTTATACCAATTTTTTTATGCACCCGTTGAAAATATGAAAAGTCGGCGCCCATGTTATATATAACATCGTGCACCGACACCACCGACACACAGGGCTTCCAACGGAACAAAAAAAACGAAAAAAACCCAATCGGTGGTGGTCGGTTTTTGCCTTGTTGTCTTCCTTACTCGGAGTAGTCTGCTCGTGTGGGTAATAATCAGATTTTTTCCATTTTCATATTCATAGGTGTGTTAGTTGTAGAGACAGGCCCACATTTGTTAGATTTACATATCCTATACTTGAAAAGTGACGATGTAATTAATCAATCGGACAATTCAGATATATTTTCCAAAATTAAATTCTGTATATAATATATTCGAGGGTTAACATAGTTGTTATTTAAGCTACATTCCCAAAAACACTGTAACTAATGTGATGTACAAAACCTTATTTATTGATATTCAGAAATAAAAAACATTGGTTTATAAGAATTAGCAATTCAACAAGTCAACATCAAACCTCACTATACCCCAAGAAAATCTTTCATACAGGTTCAGACTATTAAATAAGAGACAAGGTAAGTGGAATACTCACTTCGTAATTTTTTACGTAGAACGAGGGGAGAAACGGGTTTCTCTGAAAAATTATCATTGGTTAAAAACCGTATCAATGTGAAGGGTTTTAGTACCTTGGTGTACTTGAAAAACGGCCGAAACATTGTTAAACACAAGAATTTTGAACTTGAACAACTTCAAAAAATTTGAAATTTGTACTGACACCCAACAACTATGATTAATTACTTAATTCACAAATTCCCCTTTGTTTTTCTGTACTTTATTTGAAGAAGAAGGAACCGTAAAAAGCACCTCTTAGCAAACAATAAAATACGAAAAAAGCACGTAAGTACAAAAAATAATTAGCAAAGATTTGATGACTCAAGTGGAAGAGTCCAAAACATAAAAATAAATTAAATTGGATTGTAAGAACAAAGAAATCAATAGAGAAAACACGACAGTGACAAAATCAATGAAAGAAATTGTAAAAACGGTTTTCAAGGGTTTAATTAAATTAAATCGGAAAAAGATAACTTAATCCTTTAACGATTTTACGTCTAGGACCGGCTTATAAATGACTATTTGATAAAACCAAATTTAATTCTAAATAATCAAAAAATAATTAATTTTTCTAGTTGTCTTTTTCCACATTTTTTAATAAAAGCAATTCTTGCTAAAAAGTGAGCTAAACTGAATGAAAAAAAAAAATCCACTTGCAATTTTTTACATAAATTAAATATTTTCTTAAATAAGAGCAATCCTTAATCGAACGAAATAATTCACAAAATCAAACACAACAAATTTTTGTAATAGTTTGTACAAATTTATAATACCAAGCAGTGTTCATTAAGAAATAAATCGTTTTTGCGATTTCTGCTATGAATTCAAAGAAGATTTTATGTTTTTGCAATTGTTTCCTTAATAAGAGCGATTCTCATCAAAAAATTTGTGTCCACTCAATAAATTTTCATGAAATAAGCGAAAAACAAAATAATTGTATACGCTCACAAAAGTAGCTATTTTACGGACTCATTTAAAGTCTCTAAAATGAGGTTTTTTTGGACTCAAAGAAATAATACGTTATTTTGGGTAATATTTTTTATTTTTAACCACTATTTTCGGGTGTAGAACCAAAAAAATCTTCATCTCCGGCTTACGATTCACCAAGCAGTCCAAAGTTTATCAAAGGATAAAACCAAATTTAATTATAAATAATCAAAAGAAAAACATTTTTATAGTTTTCTTGTTCCTCTTTATAACATAAAAAACAACCGAAACAAATAACCTATTTCAGACCATATTTTTTAAATTTTTTACATTATTGAACATTTTTTTTTATTAAAAGGAATTCTTATTAAAAAAATATGTAAAACCAAATGAAAAACTCGAAAACAGTATGTCTAGAACCTGTTTAATAAAATTTCTTACAATGAGCAAAACAGAGAGTGAAAGAAAAAATCGCATTAAAACAAAATATTAAGGAAGCATGTTTTTTCCAGGATTTAATGAGAGTCTAGGGCCAAAAAATATCCAATTCCAACTCCAGCGATTCTTATTGAAAAATATGTTAAATCGAACAAATAAACCTGAAAAAGTCAAGAATAGTCCCTCATATGAGTCTTTTTTTGGACTTAATGAAAAAGTACGTTATTTTAGGTTGTTTTTTATTTTTAACCACTAGAACCTAAAATCTCCATTTCCGGCTTACGATTGACTAAACTGAATGATAATAAAAAATTAACTATAAGTAATCAAAAAAAAGTAATTTTTATATTTTTTTGTTCCATTTTATAACTACAAAAAAGGAACCAAAACAAAAGACCATATTTTTCAATTTTTTCTTTGATAAAAGCAATTCTTATTAAAGAATATGTAACCTAAGGGAAAGCTCGAAAACAGTATGTCTCCGTGGTGTTTTGCATCGGCGTAATAAAATTTCTTACAATAAGCAAAACATAAAAAACAAAGAGTGAAAAAAAATCAAAAGAAAAAATCGTGTGAAACAAAAAACTAAAAAGAAATCAGAATTTAATGAGAGTCTAGGGCCAAAAAATATCCATTTCCAACTTACGATTGAGTGTTTGATCCAAATTAAATTATAAATAATCAAAAAAATTTTATTTTCTTTGTAATGGTCAAAAATTTGCGATTTAATTTTTTACTGAAAAATGAGCTAAACCGCACAAAATAAGTCGAATAAATTTCAACTGGTTGCAATTTTTTTGCATAAATTAAGAATAGTTCTTTTAATAAACACAATTCTTGTTGAATAATTAACTAAATCGAACGAAATGAGTGAAAACATACAGAAGATATTTTATAATATAGTTTGCATCGACCTGATAATACAAGAAAGCAAAGATTTCACTTAAAAAATAAGCCGATTTTGTGATATTCTGGTCTGAATTCCACGAAAATTTCATGTTTTTCATTCAAATGCATGTTTTTGCAATTTTTTCCAGTAATTGCAATTATTTCTTCTACGATTAATAGTTAACAAATTTAATTAACAACAAATGCATATTTTTTAATGTTCTCTCAACTTACTAATAGAATTTGAAATATATCCTCGTAAACTATCATTGTTTTTTTAAAGTAATCCAAAATGAAATTGGATTTGGAACGATTAAAAAAAAAAACAAAAAGTGTGGAAAAAAGAAAAAAACACAAAGCAAAGAAAGGAGTGTTAAAAAACTGATATGGCAAAAACAACACATCAAAATAAAACCCGATTCGTCTTGTAATTATTTAAAAATAAAGAAAATGTGCTGACATTTCGAGTGTTTTAATCCCAAATGGGCAAAAAATCCCCTACTTGACCCTAAATCACGCCCCCAATGCAACAAAAAATTCGCCAGGCGCGCCACTGGTTCAATATAGACCACGACGCCTAGCACATGCGTCGCGACGCCTCCAGTCTCCCATCGACCATCCTCGTGTGCAAAACAAGTAAGTTCGACTGACTTTTTCCCCATTTATCGCCCCATTTCCAGCATGACCACATCCCCAACATCCGAAATATTCTCGGACGAAGTCGACTCAATCTCAATCCGGGACAAAGCCCTCCTCAAACGCTCCGTCTCCAAACACCACAACAACAACTTCAAAGCTGGCTACGTCCCCGTCCACGAGCAACACCTCACCAAAACGGGCCTTCGCGGGCGGAAAACCTTCGCATTTTGGACCCTAGTCGCCCTACTTTTCATCCTCGCGGTCGGAAACCTCCTACTTACCATCACCATTCTGGGCGTTTTGCGTCTGGGACAAGGCATGGAAAGCATCGAGTTGGTGCCCGACGAGTACGCGGTGAAGTTTTTCGGCCTCACCGACTTGGGACACATGTACAAACGCAACGGCAAGATCGAAGGCTTCAAAGACGAGCCCGTGCAAATCACAAGTGAGGAAAGTGCCGTCTTACTCAACCTCATGTCTTTGCGGAACGGCCGCCCCAGCAACCAGGTGCGCATCACCAAAAACGGGACCACTTTCTGGGGCTTCGACTCCTTCCACGTCAGGAATAAACACGACACGGTTTTTAGTACAGACACGCCGAATTTTCGCTCCCTAAAGGGGGCCAATGATTTCGACGCGAAAAGCCTCTTCACCAATCGGATTGCCAGCCCCCTGCATGCCAAACTCAAAGTGGAAGGGCGCATTTTGACCTTTAAAGGTTCCGAAGGGACGAGGATGGATGGGAAGGATATTTTCTGGAGCGCTGATCAAGACATTTATTTGAAAACTAACAACGGATCGATTGTTTTGAGCGGAAACGATGGGACTTTTATCGATGTTAGGAGAATCCCTATTGCGACAGTCAGGAATACCAACTATGTCACTTCTCAATACAAAGTTTGCGTTTGTATGCCTGAAGGGAAACTGTTCCGGATTCCAGTCCCCAGTGGGCCCAACCCTAGAGTGTTTTGCCACCATATCAACACCCAACATAATCCCTGCATGTAGATGATGATAATAATAATAATAATAATAGACTGTGTTTTTACCAAATAAATGTCTTTAGAAATTACGATTATATTTTCATTAAATATACACTAATTATCAATCGTTTCCATACTTTCATCCCCTTCGGCTTCCATATCCTCGTCCTCTTCCTCCCCTTCCTTCTTCTCTGGGGGGTTCTCGTAGGCTTTGTCCAGTGGTGACACCACCACCCCATCCCAAACCGACATTTCCTTAGCGATTGACGCATTCCCTTCTAATCCTAGGATGTGTTTGTACCCCCCATGTGACAACACCCTTAACAAAGTCTGCGCTGTCAAACAACAAATATCTTGCTGTTCCAACGTCATCGCTGTGTGAATCCGCAAACTGACCCCTTCGCAAGGATCAGTAATCCCCGCCGATCCTGGTAGAAACAGCCCCGCTGACAACAACTGAAAAACCCTCCGAAATGCGACATTAATGGGCAACGCCTGTCGACTAGGATTATGCATAATAGCGAAATGCGCCAACAAATCCAACATCCATGGAGTCAACGGCTCGAAACCCTCAAACCTCGACCGAATGTCTCTCAACAACCGAATCAACACTTTAATTGATGAATGATGAGCGTTTTCCTCGAACCAACGGCTATGTCGGATAGCCGCCAAGTGGCTCAACATGATTTTTTGGTCCAAGTGGATCTCGGGGTCCAATTTACGGATGTTGTGGTGCAAGGTGGTCACCATTACGCGGACACAAGCAAAACTATTGCTGATTTCAATGCCGCGTTCGTTGGTCGTGTGGTTGAGTTGCTCGCCTTTGGTCACCACTTCACTCTTCATCAAATTCTTCAAGTCTTCTTTCACTTTGTTACCGAGGGCCTCGACGGCTTCTCGTGTGGGCAAAGTCTTCAAAATTACGACTATGTCGGCCACGTTGTGACCGGTTACCATCGTGCCTTTCTTGAACGAACCCACCTGGCGGACCTCCTCCAATTGCTGAAAAAAAAAATGGATTTTGAATTTGACATTTGGTACCAACCTGACAAAATAACGCCTAATTAAAGGACGCCGATCATCAAGTTGACAAAAATGAGGTTTTTAGCCCAATTGAGGTCGTTTTTTAAATTTGATAACTCAAATTGATATTTGGTAACCAACATGACGAAAGAGGCCTAGAGGCCTAATTGAAGGACGCCAATCATCAAGAAAATGTTGACAAAAAATGGTGTTTTTAGCCCAATTGAAGTCGTTTTTTTTTTGAAAATCTCATAAATTGATATTTGTTAACCAACTTGACGAAAAAAAGGCCTAATCAAAGGATGCCGATCATTAAAGTTGCATCAAATCGGTTTGGAAACAAAAGAAACGTCAATGAATTTTTTTTCTTCCCGGTTGAGAAATGGGTTATTTTTCTGGAGTTTTGCCCCTTCGGGGCCGTTTCTGCTTACACAAGCGTCAATTTTTTTTTGAAAATCTGCTAACTTAAATTGATATTTGTTAACCAACTTGACAAAAAAGAGGCCTAATTGAAGGACGTCCATCATCAAAAAAGTTGCATCAAGTTGGTTTGGAAACAAAAGAAACGTCAAAAATTTTAATAAGGCCTAATTGAAGAACGCCGATCATCAAGAAAATATTGACAAAAAATGGTGTTTTTAGCCCAATTGAGGTCGTTTTATAATTTTTTTTGAAAATCTCATAAATTGATATTTGTTATAACCAACTTGATGAAAAAGAGGCCTAATCGAAGGACGCCGATCATTAAAAAAGCTGCATCAAGTTGGTTTGGAAACAAAGAAACGTCAATGAATTTTTTTCTTCCCGGTTGAGAAATTTCGGGAGTTTTACCCCTTTGGGGCCGTTTCTGCTTACACAAGCGTCAATTTTTTTTTGAAAATCTGCTAACTTAAATTGATATTTGTTAACCAACTTGACGAAAAAGAGGCCTAATCGAAGGACGCCGATCATTAAAGTTGGTT